AAAGCTTTAATAATATTACCAATATTAAAAACTTTAATATATTATACATTATAATATTAATATGAATGAGTAGAAACGATTACATTTAAATTTGGCAAATTGTAACTCCAGCCGACTATACGAACTTACAAGTACGATTGCGCGAATCAGTGGAATTTGGATGCCAAATTCTCGGTCTGTAGATCCTTGTTGAAAAATCAGTTAGTACCAGAGAACTACGAACGCAGAGAAGCGACACTCCTTTGATCTTGCGTGGGCAAGCCGCCAACGAGTGAAAATGACAGGAAAGCACCTTATTTTTTAATAGTCAGTGGGCATATTACACAATATAAATTCTTAAATAAAATTGAGCATTTATGTTGACTTTCAATAAATATGAAATATTGCACTGAAAAAATAATTACATGCAGGGCCGGCTTTTGTTGACATTCTAAATGGTGTAATTATTTTTGATTTACAAAAGGTTGCAAATACATCGCACAACGCAAAGTAATGGTGAAAATCGTATTGATGGAACCATAGATGAAAATACTTTTTTGTTTATTCTGATGTTGACGTTGATAATACAATAATACACCGATTCTTTTTGGCTTGTGTTGATACAAGATATAATTTGTTCGTCGTGGAATTTCCTAATAAATTATCTTTATCCTAATAACCTAAAAAATAATCAAAAAAGTATTACGAATCATTACAAGAGAGCATTAGGAAGATAAAACGAATTTATATTATTGTCATTACACATGATTCGGATATACATAGTAAATCCAGACTTTCAGTTTAAACTAATATTTGGATACAATTTATTTTGTTTACAATAGATTCAGAGTTAATACATACGATTTTTAGTTGATTGGTATTGCCTTTAAAATTATTTGTAGTATCTAGTTTGCCTAAGCCGGATTTGTAACAATTATTTCTGGTTTTGTTGTTAACTGCGGTTAGTACAATTCTTATACTTGAAGTCAAAACGACGAACCATTGAACCTTCAGGCCAGATACTGGGATTGAGAACTTCATTTTTATAATCCAATGGATATGAAACTTTAAAGTTTGCTTGGTACTCCGTAACCTTTAACTTCTTGAAGTAAAAATGTATATTTGGAGCATTTACCTTTAAATTATTGGTCAAATCTTCCGTTGTCTGTTGTGGAATTATATAACGGTGTAAATAAATAATGATTGATTGGAGTAAGATTTATGTCTGTTTACTCTTAATATTGGCTATGGGCATATGTGCTTGGTTGTAAATATAGTAATTGTCATCCAGTTCTAGTCTGTTAAAATGTAACTAACTTTCGCAATAAAATAATTACTAAAATACTAGATAGTTGTGTCTGAGATTAGCGAATCGACTATACATACACTACATACATTCAGTATCATTGTATATCCAAGATGGACATGTATAATTAACGAATTAACATTGACAGACAACTTTTGTATATAGCAAAAAGTAGATGAGCATTTAGTTTTTTCATAATTTAATGTAAGTTTGTTTGGTGAAAAAGACAGCAAATATTTGAAGTTATGTTAATGTAAGTTTGTTTATTTGCAATCATGTTTTTATTTTGAAGTCTTGTTCTGTTATAATTTTAAGATTTTCCCAATTTTCGATCTAATTATGTTTCCAACAATTTTTAGTTTGAGCATTTTAGGAATTTCTTTGTTTCGTTTAAATCAAATATTCTCGTGTATAAAACCCTCTATATATTTTTATTTCCTAAAAATACTATATTCGTATTGTTGTCTGCGAGCGCTTTCACACCAGTAGGCCAACATCTGTGTTGATTTTTTGACCTGAGCCTTCGGAGACAATAAATTTAATGTGTGTTCGTAGTTCTCTGGTTTTTATTCTGAACTATCCCTTGGCAAACCAAAATTTATTTTTTTATTGCTTCACTTAACGAGAGCTCGGGCGGACACGTCGGTGTCGGCTTACTCAAAGTCAAATTAATACTATTATGTAATAACTAATAATAATTACAAAGCAATAGTAATTACCTGTTATTATTCTTAGGAAATCTAAATAAACTTATTCCTTTTCCTGTCACAGATGAACATCCGCGAAACGCACAACAATAACCAGAAGACATTTTAAATACTTATAAATTAAACTTTTAACTATAAACTATAACTATAAACTTATATATTTAACTTATATATTTTAACTATAACTATAAACTATAACTATAAACTTTTAACTACTAAATAATTAGATAAATGGTCAAATGCACTTGTATAGTCGAGAGTTTACCACAGATGCCTACGGACTATCGTAAGCAACTTAAAATTGAAGAAAACGCACGTGTTTTTGACAGTAAAGCACCTTATTTGGGTCATGCGTATACAGAAAAGATACACGAATTCCGGGCCTCGTGTCGCTTCTCTGTGTTCGTATGTTCTCTGTAGTACCCGTCAATGTCAAGAGGAATGATGTGGTAGGAGCAAAGTCATTGTGCTTAAGTTTGTGAGTAGGCAGTTTTTAGTGAAGAAATGTGTTTTGTGTGTAGTAGGATCATAAGCAATTTTTGGTATTTTAAAAAACTGATGGGAGAATATAAATCAATGCGTGACTGTGATGCAAAATAAATCGGTATACCAAGGTAGGTAAAAATTTTATGTAATTTAAGTGGTTAAAATTAATAAATCATTTTAAATGGGATGAAAAGGATGTTATTACCTAATTGTATCGTTGTATTAAATAAGTATATATAAAAGATGGATTGTAATTTATGGAAGATGAGTCGAGGAAAAGAAAAAGAAGTAAACGAGAAGGTAAGAAAGGGAATAGAAAGTGAATGTGACGATGTAAGATGGAGAAATTGAAACTGATTGTGATAGGAGGTAGATAGATGTAAAATTAATATTTATAAGAAAATGTGTATGATTGTATGTGTATGATTAAATGAATATATATAAAAGTAGGATTGTAATTTATGGAAGATGAGTAGAGGAAAGAACAAGAAAAAGAAATTAACGAGAAAGCAAGAAAAGGAAATAGAAGGTGAATATGGTGATGTAAACTGGTGATATTAAAACTGATTGTGATAAGAGAAAAAAGATGTAAAATGAATAATTATAAAAAATGTGTATGATGAGTGATGGTAGTTATTGGAGAGGATGGGTAGTTGGATATTGGCAAAGGGGTGATGTTAGTGTATTAATGGTGACAAGTATAGAGTTAAGTATGAATGATTATGTAAGTTGAAATTTAGCTATGGGAAATAAAAAAGAAATGTAGAAGTGAAGTAAAATTGGATGGGTAGTTAAAAGAGAGAAAGTTAGTTTAGGAGAATAATTGTCGATGAAGTGGGACGAAGTCTCTGTTGATGCTGGTGTGACGATTAACACAATTGGGACTATTTTTCTTTTCCTTGACTATTTCCAAATCCTCAAAAAGGTCGAGTTTGAGATAATCTCTACCAGGGATGTTATGAATCTTCATAACATCCCTGGTAGAGATTATCTCAAACTCGACCTTTTTGAGGATTTGGAAATAGTCAAGGAAAAGAAAAATAGTCCCAATTGTGTTAATCGTCACACCAGCATCAACAGAGACTTCGTCCCACTTCATCGACAATTATTCTCCTAAACTAACTTTCTCTCTTTTAACTACCCATCCAATTTTACTTCACTTCTACATTTCTTTTTTATTTCCCATAGCTAAATTTCAACTTACATAATCATTCATACTTAACTCTATACTTGTCACCATTAATACACTAACATCACCCCTTTGCCAATATCCAACTACCCATCCTCTCCAATAACTACCATCACTCATCATACACATTTTTTATAATTATTCATTTTACATCTTTTTTCTCTTATCACAATCAGTTTTAATATCACCAGTTTACATCACCATATTCACCTTCTATTTCCTTTTCTTGCTTTCTCGTTAATTTCTTTTTTCTTGTTCTTTCCTCTACTCATCTTCCATAAATTACAATCCTACTTTTATATATATTCATTTAATCATACACATACAATCATACACATTTTCTTATAAATATTAATTTTACATCTATCTACCTCCTATCACAATCAGTTTCAATTTCTCCATCTTACATCGTCACATTCACTTTCTATTCCCTTTCTTACCTTCTCGTTTACTTCTTTTTCTTTTCCTCGACTCATCTTCCATAAATTACAATCCATCTTTTATATATACTTATTTAATACAACGATACAATTAGGTAATAACATCCTTTTCATCCCATTTAAAATGATTTATTAATTTTAACCACTTAAATTACATAAAATTTTTACCTACCTTGGTATACCGATTTATTTTGCATCACAGTCACGCATTGATTTATATTCTCCCATCAGTTTTTTAAAATACCAAAAATTGCTTATGATCCTACTACACACAAAACACATTTCTTCACTAAAAACTGCCTACTCACAAACTTAAGCACAATGACTTTGCTCCTACCACATCATTCCTCTTGACATTGACGGGTACTAACTGATTTTTCATACCATCTTTCTATCAGTTAGCCCTAGACTCCAACACAGATCAGAGGTAATGTAAGTCAATAAAACTTCACCAACTACAGGGGGTCATATAAGATGCCCCCAGTTTCATTTTTTATATTACACAAGTCAAGAGTCTATTGCATTTACCTGAATAAATAACACGAAGAATATTATTTTTTAAATCCAGATGTCAACCGAATGTTTTTTATGTGGCCACACAATGTTTTTTAACAACCTTTTTTATGTAAGTAGTAAAAAACCAACTTTCTCTTTTTGTATGTTCAAATTTTAACTTTGTTGTTTTTAATATTGGTATTTTTACTCTCTCTTTTAGTAAACTGATGATGGAATGATACAATTCCGAAAAGATCTTCTTTATAATAAAAAATTTTAAGCTTTTAATAAGCGTTTTTATACCTTAATACACACGAACACCACTGCTTTGAATTCATTGTTTGTCTCTCTGTGTACCGCCTTCCCCTGCATATTGTGTATTTTTTGTTTATTTTCAGGATTACAAAAGAATTCTCCCTTAAAACCACGCATGGACAAATTCATACGACGAGTAATAGAAGCAGGTTTTATCAAAAAGTGGATGGACGACGTTATGCAAAAAGTACTTACATCAGAAATCCAAATAGAAGACACTGGTACCACCAAAGCAATAATGAACTTAAAGAAATTCTCTGGAGCTTTGGTAGCTTTAATTATCGGCTACATTATAGGAATTATTACCTTAATTGTAGAAAACTGCTACTTTTATCTTAGAGTTGCAAAGAATCCACAATTTAATAAATATTCTAGGCAAATTGTTGTCAAAAAATCCAAATAGTCCGAGTACCTAGTTGCAAATATAAAAAGATATGTATTTGTATTTATTAACTATTAATTTATCACAATAAAAAACGCTTCATTGGATCGTTGCATCTATTTTTTTATACCTACATATACCTCCTTAAAACCTTATGGCAATATCCCCAAAATAAATTATTCGAAGTTGTGTAAAAGCAAATATGTATCAATAATATAGAAAATTAAAATATGTAAAATGAAATGGAAGCATTTTTTCTCTCTTCTGAATGTAGACAACCAACATTAATTTCGTACGATAATGTTGGATGTTTTAAAGTTTCTAATTTTAAATTGATAAAAATGTTACTTTATACAATTCATAAATGCAATTTTTATGATCAGGATCATATTTGATATTTATATATTTAAAAACAAAACACAATACCACAGAATAATAAACAAACAGAATGTCCACTCTCCACGGAAAATTAAGTACGCGCATCTCCTTCGCGCAGACGTTCCGCCATGTTTTACGAGGATTTTAAAGGGAACCAGTGTTGTTTATGTGGTGTGCATGGAAAAAAAAACCAGGTTTATTTGACTTACGGCAATCATAGACATACTATACAATTATATTAACAGTTTTAAATGTAATAACATAAATATAATATAATTAAACATAAATGTAAACAATTGCATAACCTCAACAAATCATATGTTTGTGTCCAATGACGTATAATATATAGACTACGCAGTCCCCTATTCTCGCTATAGAATCGAGTGTCCGAAAGATCTCGGCTCAAGGTTGAAGGTATGTTTATTAGAACAGCGGCGTGCTCATTTATATGTTAATGACAATAATTATTTTTTTAATTAAAATTAAATATTTATGATTTCTTTTTGTTCCCGTCTATAAGAGAAATAATTATTTTGATAAAATAGTATGGCATTTTACTAAAATAGTAAGTAAATAACTATCAACAATTTAAAATAAAATTTGCTTGTCACACAAAATGGAGTACGTCCATGATGTTTTCAAACACAAGATCAACTTCGTGATGCTTCGTAAGAAATCATGAACTTCGTGCATCTTCGTATCAAAACAATAAACAATAACAAAGGTATTCATGTTTTGGACACTTTTTAAAGCGTTCACCGAGTCTATATATTATACGTCATTGGGCTGCGGCGTGCTGAAAAACTTCAAAGGCGGCATCTGAGAGTGGCCTTTCTGATTGTTTATTATTCTGTGACATACATTTCCCGCGTTTTATGCATTTTTACGTCATCGAACCGTGCGCCGATTGTCAAGGTTGTAAATGTCAATATTTGTTATTATTTTATTTTCAAAGTTGTCGCAGCAACGGACTAACCTTGACAAATCGATTGAAACAATTATTCAAATAAACAGTTTCCCGTCTTAATTTAATTTAAACTGTAAATACGAGTCATGGAGAAACAAAACAAAGTCAAATCGAGAAGAAAGTGTGTAAATCCAGTGTTTCATTTACAAACAAAAGATGAAAATGATCAACACATGACCAAAGATGTAATAAAAAAAGTTCGAACTACTGGCCAGTTGAATTTGTCCTCAAGGCATCTTTCTGAAGGTAATTCTAAAAATACGTATTACTTAAAAAATTGTCAAGTCTAACTTTTAAACATTTTTGAGGATTAATGCTTTGACTAGTGCTACGTTTGTTAATAAATAGAGTTTTACTGTCATATTATTTTAAAAAAAACTACATTTAATTATCCTGCAAGCACAAGGCTGTTTAAAAATAATTGACTATTAGTTCCAGCTGATAAAATACCTTCTGGGTTATGAATATTTAAAATAGTTAAATGATTAGATATCTACCCATTTAATTAAGAGAAATTTATAGGAAAAGTATTCATTTCATATAAACTATTCATAGAAAACAGTAAAACTGATAATACCGCAATATTTGTTCTGAATTATAAATGAACTATCTTTATTGTAAGGATTTTTTTCATTTTAGAACTCAATTTTAAAATCCATAGTAAAATTCATGTGATAATGGAACTAATATTAATTTTGGAAAAATGAAAATATTTTTTTTAATTCAACAAAGCTTTCTATGATACCTAATATATATTATATCCATCCATATGATTTTGCATCTTTTTCACATGTAGAGTTTATTTCTAAATTTCACAATTATTTAGTTATTTTTTGTACAGAGGAACCTATCAAGACATCACTTAGTGGTGTTTTTTTTTTGTATTTTTCATGTTTCTTACCCTTTCAAATGTATTCTTGTCTTTTTTATTTATTCTTGAGTTAACTTTTTTTATCAAGAATTTAAATAGCGTACAGTTGAATGTATCTATCTAATATTGTTCTTGTTTTTTTCTCCTTCTTTAAGATTTTGTCTATACTTAAGTACCTACTTCTATTTAGAAATGCACAAGTGTCTTAAGCTCAAAAGTGATATCAGTCAATTGCCTTCTGTAAAAATATGCAGTATTCAGTTATTCCAGAAAAAGCATTCAGGTATTCTAGTTATTACAGTTTTAATATATACTGTATAGTCTATTATTGATGGATTTGTTACAGCAATTGTTGTATAATGTTCTATTCTTTCATCTTCAAACAAATGTTATTTTCCCATACATATTCCAACTTTTTCATACATATCAACTGTTTGTTGATATATAGTACTCTGTTTCCATTTTCAACTTCTAGACCTTGAGATAATTGTTTCCTTTTCCTTTGTGTCTTGCTTAATCAGAGGATCTCTTGACAACTTTTGAAACACACCTTTACACCCAGCATTTTTCCATATGTGATTCTGTCTACCAATAACATAGTGACTGCTCTCTAGAGTATTCATTAATCTGCTGATTCCAAGTATGCCTCGAGTCTAATATTAACCTAAGGTATTTTTCTTCACTCACCAGATTTAGATTTGTACTAGCTAGGCTTAGAGTATCTAATCCCTCTAAATTCCTCCTTATGGCAAATTTCATGATTTTGAACTTCTGCGGTTTTATGTTAATCCCTACGTTTGAAGTCCATTAGGTAACTACAGTCAGAGCCTGTTGAATTCTACCTCTATTTGTGCTATTAAATTTAGTATGGGCTAAGATGATCATATGACCAAGACATATGAGTAGTGATGAATAGACCCAAACTTTACATATATAAGTAGTTACTGTTATTGATTTTTAATCGGAATTTTATTTTAAAGTGTCAATTATTCTTTTCTTGGTTTGCTAATGAATATTAGTTAATTGTCTTTTAATCAAAAATGATAAAATTTGACAGATTTATTTCAAATTTCGTAGTTGTTACAGTATTCTCTGAATGAATTTATTTTGTTTTTGGGATATTATCGTGTTTCTAAGACGATTCTATTTTATTTTTTAAGTTATCACGTGCATCAATCAAATAATAGTAGTCATTTCTATCATTGAATGATGTAATAAAGTGAGAACAAATTAACGATATTTTATAAAAGTGAAATTTTTTCATACTTTTTAACAAGTAACTTTAGTCGTTTGTAACGAGTAATTTAAATAAAAACTTAAGGTACAGAAATAACACATTTCTAAAAATAGCGATGCAATCTTGAAAATAATCACAAATTTTGTCCTATACCCCAAGACTATTATAAAATTCGTAGTAGGTTCTTGTAACATAGTTATTGTCCACCAAGTACATGAAATCTTTTTTTTTTGTTGTTTAGAGCTATGAGAATTTGTTTTACGTAAATTTTTCTTTCCTGCACAGACAAGTAATGCTGATGATCTCTATTTTTGAGTCGGTTTTAAATGTATCTAGTTCTTCAAACACATCACTGAGGTAGAATGTTTTGTGAAGGAGTTGTCTTGTGAAAACTTTAAAACTTTGATATTAGAAAATGGTAAATTCTCATTTTTTTCACTTTCCTTAAAATTGTCACCAAGCTCATTTTCAAGAGCTTTGATGTCAATAAAATCCTGATGGCTCATTTCATTTACCTCAAAGTATGAAGTGCTCTTCTTTGCTGTTCTCAAAATTTGAAAATACTGAGAAGGGACATAAATGCCGCCAGATTTTAAACTTCTTTTAATTTCTTTTTCAATAACCGAGTGTGTGTTATCCCCCTCATTTTGGGTATGCCCCTTAATCAAATATTTATCTTAATCGTTTTTATATTGTCGAAGACACAAAGGCTGTACATCTACATCATTAATATGTATTTGTTTTTCTGCTGACCTCCGCAATTAGAAGACAAAACTTATATCTTGCTCTTTTTTTCCAGTTAGCTACTTTTTCAATATATTTAAACACTGACGTCCCGATCTCGATGGCTCCTCGTTTGGCTTCGCCCTCGTGCCACACGTTGCAAATACATTCATTACTTTTGATGAGTAGATAGTTAAATTATACGTCGATAATTTCGATCGGTAATAAAATACCGATACATCGCCCCTAGGCGTCGTAAGGGCAGTTTGGAGGTCATAAGCACAGACAAATTTAGATTTGTCTGGGTCCGTTTTGTCTTTCTCTTTCTGTTTTCTTGCTTCTTTTTTGTGTTCCAGGTGATTGTTGTATTGTGTATCATTGTGTTCAGAATTTTCGTATTGTGTACAAAGTTCCTACTGATCTTTTTTTGGCATAAGAAAAGATATGTTGAACTCATTGAATATTTGAAAAAAAGTTGTCAAATGGTTTTTTTAGTTCCTTAGATTTATCCACATAGTCACGATATATTTGGGCAATGGTCCGTCCTCCTTCGATGAATTCACGTTCATTTTGCGCAGTAAGGTAGTGTGACGGTATTCTTGGAATAGAATTTATGTGGGCGCGAATATCTTTCTTTGATACTGTTGTAGAGTTTATTATGATTACCATGTTTTCCACGGTTATCAGTTTCAAGAACACCATCAAGTTTTTTTTCTAACTGTCGTGACTGTGGTTGAGGAAATATAAAGAGTCGCACAAAAAACCGTTTGCACACACGAATGTCATTTCCGTTTATTTTAAAATAATATGCGACATTTCCGAGTCTTGGTTTATTCTGGAGAAGCGGTGGAATGTCTTTAATGTGACAACTTATGAAATCACGCTGCTTTTGCACATCTCCGAAGCCCCAATATTTTTGGAAAAGTTTTAAACGTGTTCGTGTTCAGAAATTTTGGTCGTACATTTATGTGCATTTATGCATTTTGTGTATCCTGCTCCCATTTTTCTTGAAAGAACAAATTTTTTGTCTGGCTAAACAGCTACCTTTGTCTATAAGGTAGCTGTTTAGCCAGACTAATAATGAGAGGTTGAACAGGACAGACACCCTGAGAGGGACTGATAGAGAGCCAATCTATGCGGCACAAACAGAAATGTTCTTACTGTAGATATTTATAAATTTTTATAAAATAAATTTTATATTTAATTTATAGGTAATTTGATACGGCTATGAAATTACTCCTTGTGATTGATTTATTACTCTGCATAATTATTTTGCAGGCTTTAAGAAAAAGCAATGTTTAATGTTACAGAAAGTGGGAGTTTCAGATGTAAACAGTCTTATGGATATACTGTAGTGTATTCATTTGTTTCAACTGTGACATGAACTAAAATGATAACACTGTATAAATCAACAAAAATGGCTCATATAACCAGGAATATAACTTTTACTTAATAAAATTTATCTGTATTGCTTGAAGTTTGTTCAAGCAGTACAGATAGTAATTATTTAAAGTGCAATACAAAACAAGTGTAGTTGTAATTATTTAAAATTTTGATTCAAAAAAGAAATGTGTCTATTTTACTAAAAATAAACAGTGTCTAATACATCTGTCATCTGTAAAACCAGTTTAAAATGACTTACTAATTTTGTAGTGCCAGAAAAAGTATTTTCAATATATGAACTAACAAATGAGAATGAAATAAATATAGATTTAAGCAGACCAGTTAAAGAAGAGGAAGCTTGGTGGAATATTAAACCCCTAACGCATCTAGATCTTAGCTCTAATGTTTTAACAGATTTGCCAAAACAGATCGGCATGTTCCAGGATTTAATGGTGTTAAATGTAAGATGTGTTACTCTAGTATAAGGTTTATGGTATTAATAACATGTAGATTTACCTTTATAATTATTTTGTAGTTGGACAATATTAATATAGATAATTAAAGAGGTCCTGAAACTGTTTTCTTGTGGAATGTTTGAGTTAAATATTATATTTAAATGAAATTAAGCTACAACTGATTGCAATAAAAATTACGTTTTACATTTGCTTTGATGTTTCAACATTTCAGAAATCATTTTCAAAAAAAAAGAAATAATTAAAAAAAATTAAAATAATGACAACTTATTGTTGTTTACTCGGAAATGTAATTATGGAATAAAGAACAGAAGGTTGTAGTAGCCTCTTCGTTTTAAAGTTTTTTGAAAACGATTTCTGGAATGGAAGTTGAAACGTCAAAAACAAATGTAAAATGTCATTTTTATTGCAATCAATTGTGGCTTAATTCTATATACACGTAATATAGCTAGATGAATATTACATTCCACATATATTGCTCTAGAAATTTTGTGAGGCTGTGTAGACAGACATTGGAAATATTAACTGTGAGGGATGCCACATAAAGCCTTTGATATTTAACGAAAACTTTACGACTAATAAGAGCCAAGCTAGAGAAGGAGGATAAATATTGACAACCAGAACATCACCGAATGTAACTACTATAATGCAACTATTAACATCACGACTGACAAAAATTTTTCTCTCAATTGTCTCTTCTTTGTGTCTATGATTAGCAAGTTTTTTTTTTTATTATTGAGTTAATGCCTCGACAACTAAGATCATTGGCATGGTACAGTCAGGTACCTAGTGTAGTGTGTGTGTGTGTGTAGAGTAATTGTCTTGATACTTAGCAAAGTCGACGTCATTGTCTTTGCTAAGAGACGCTAGTTGTATCCGAACGTCTGCGGTCCCTCCAGTGAGTACCGATCGCACAAGGATAGAAATTATTTTCATTTATTAATTTTTAATAAACGAAAATTTCTCCACCCAGGTGAGATTCGAACTCACGACCTTTAGGTTTAAAGGTAAACGCTCTTACCACTGAGCTACAGAGGGTTGATTAGCAAGTTTAAAAAATACAATTTGAAAACAAATACTTGTTTCATACACTTTTAAACAAATATTGTTTATAAACAAGATTCAATCTAATTTACCATGAAAAAGGATGTATCTCAAAGGATGATACAGGATATCTAACTAAAGTCTACAGAAAACCAACACACACCAACTAATACTTGAATTATCATTCAAATCATAACATGGATATTAAAAAAGGATCATAAATTGACTATATAGAGCACAAATATGATCGAAAATATTTACCAAAACAACACAATAAAAATAAAAGCAGAACAAGAACAAGAAATAATATTAAAGATGCAGCAAATAATATTCTAGGGCCAGAAAGACCACCATCACGTAATGACTGGTTTGATGCTGAGTGTGAGGACATTACAAGAAGAAAGAACGATGCATATAAACTGATGCGGCAAAGAAGAACCCGAGAAAAACAGCAAAAATATAAAGATCTCAGAAAAGAAGAGAAGTGCATTCATAGAAGAAAAAAGCGAACTCACGAAAATAGAATATTGGAAGAACTTGAGGTATTAAAAAAGGAAAACCAAACAAGAAAATTCTACAAAACTCTGAATAACCACCCGCAGGAGCAAGCAACAATTCACCATTAGAGCCTCCGTCAATTCAAGAAGTACGAGATGCAATAAAACACCTAAAAAACAATAAATCTCCAGGAAGTGATGGTATTCCCGCGGAACTTATTAAATGTGGAGGTGCTACTGTGACTAATCAAATATATAAAATAATACTGAGAGCCTGGAATGAGGAACAAATCCCGGAAGAGTGGTGTATTGGAATCGTTTGCCCGCTACACAAAAAGGGTGACCAATTGGAATGTAGAAACTTAATACAGCATACAAAATATTTTCGAGGATCTTATATGGTCGCCTAAGTGCATATTCAGAGGAACTTCTCGGGGAATATCAAAGTGGTTTTAGGCCTGGTCGATCAACAACAGATCAGATCTTTGTGCTAAGGCAAATACTGGAAAAAACCAATGAATTCAATATCAATACATACCATCTTTTTGTAGACTTCAAATCTGCCTATGATAGTGTCCTAAGAAATAAATTGTATGAAGCCATGAATGAATTCCACATCCCCGATAAACTGATAAGATTGATTAAGGCTACAATGCGTAATGTGGTTTGCAAAGTCGAAATACAGGGCGAACAATCACAGGGGTTTTTTAACGCATGGTGGGCTGCGACAGGGAGACGCGCTGGCGTGTCTCCTTTTCAACATAGCACTGGAAAAGGCGATCAGAGATGCCCGAATAGACAACAGAGGAAATATTTTTTAATAAATCATCCCAAATTTTGGCATATGCAGATGATGTGGACCTAGTTGCCCGCACAACACGCAAGCTAGAAGAAATGTATACCACCTTCTCAAATGCCTCAAAATATATGGGCCTGCAAGTAAATGAGGAGAAAACTAAGATGATGGCATCAACACCCAACAATAGAGTCAGGAACATCGGTCCCCAATTCATAGTTGATAACTCTACCTTTGAAGTGGTGGACAAATTCACATACTTAGGCTCCCTGATCACCAAAGAGAACGCCATAACGGAAGAAGTCAAGAGAAGGATAATGGCAAACAGATGCTATTTTTTACTGAATAGACATATGAGAAGTAGAAAGTTAAGCCAAAAAACAAAAATAACCATATACAAAACCCTTATACAGCCAGTGTTGACTTATGGATCGTAGACATGGACCATCTCCAAGGCAGACGAAGATCTTCTGCTTATATTTGAACGAAGGATCCTGAGAGGAATATTTGGTGGCATCTGTGAAAATGGTGTTTGAAGGAGGAGATACAACTACGAGGTATACCACATATATAAACAAATATTTGGTGGTAAAGACGTAGTATCTCTTATAAGAATAGGAAGACTAAGATGGGCAGGACATCTAGCAAGATCACAGCAGAACAACCCTCCTAGAAGAATCCTTATGTCACAACCGTGGGAAGTAGAAAAAGGGTAGGCCAAAACTCAGATGGAAGGATGGTGTAGATGAGGATGGTAGAAAGATAGGCGCAGCAAACTGGCAACGGTTGGCAATGGATAGGACTGCCTGGCGTAATAGAACCAGAGGTGCTGACATAATTCACGCAAAGAAGCTGTACAGATTCCCTGGTCCTCTACTGTTCAACCTGATTATGGATGAAATAATAAAAAAAAAGAACTAAAAAAGGATACCAAATGGAAGAAAAACAACTTAAAATAATCTGCTATGCAGATGATGTAATACTACTCTCTCAAAGTGAAGGTGATTTATAAAGTATGCTGCACCGATTTCATATAACCGCTAGAAAAGACAAAAGGCATGGTTAAAACAGCAAATTTACTAAGAGGTAAATTGGAGCTAGAAGGTCAGATAATATACAATATTGGTCAGGCAACTCTTTCGAAAGTTGAGTGCAAAGTCAAGGTACAAAACAGGGTGTCAGTTACGTCAGGGAGACAGTCTATCGTGCCTATTGTTTAACATCGCGCTAGAAAGAGCCATAGAGAAATCGGGCATAACAACCAGAGGTACGATAATTAATAGAAGTGTACAGAAGCACGAAGACAATGGGACTGCAGATCAACGTATCCAAAACAAAATACATGAAGGTCACGAACAGCACACAAATAGCGGCACCACAAGATCTGGTGACAGAAGCACACACATTCGAAGGTATTTCGAAGTTTATATGTCTTGGAACACAACTAAATAACAGCAACCTAGTAAGCGTAGAAATTAAGAGAAGAATATACACAGAGCTTACTTTGGACTAAAGCAGTTCTTAACATCACACATAATTAGCAGAAAAACCAAGATATTTTTGTTGTATCAATGCTATGAAAAATGCAGCATCGTCCGGCCTATTAAAATTAATAGACTAAGGTGGCTAGGACACCTTGAAAGAATGGACACTGGAGACCCTAAAGACAGATATTATATCAAGAGCCAGTAGGAACCAGGAAGAGAGTAGAGATTATTAAAACTCAAGTCGAAGATAACTTGAGGAATCTAGGGGTCAGAAATTGGAAAGCCAGGGCGAAAGATAGGGGGAATTGAGACAAATTCTTGAACAGGCCAAGACCCACCCAGGGTTGTAGAGCCAAAGATGATGATGATGATGGAGTTTAAATATCTAGGCATAACATTATCTAGCTAAAGAAAGCTCGAAACAGAAGTGGAAGATCAAGTGAATAGAGCAAACAGAGCCGCAGTTTGCCTGGATGAAACAATATCGAGAAATAAAAATATCGGGAAAGAAATGAAAGGCAGAATTCACAAAACAGTCATCAGACCAATAATGACATACGCGACAGAAACACGATCTGGCACAGGGGGCAAAAAGAGTGTTAGAAACAGTAGAAATGAAAAATTGATGGTAAAACACTATGGGACTGAGCTAGAAGTACAGTTATATGCAAGTTGGAGAGCATCAAGGACTGGGTACGAAATAGAAGACTAAAATGGAACGATCATATAAGTCAAATGACAACAAATGGAGTAGATAAAGATGGCAAGAGACGGTTGCCCCTATAAGAAGACGATTAGTGGGAAGAACACGAAAACGATGGAACGACAACTTACTGGAGACACATTGAAAGACAGAATCATGTCTACATAAAAAGAAGAAGAAGAAATACTTGCTCTAGGAAAAATGACTTTCTGAAGAAAACAACACTCTAGTAAATAAAAACTATTTTAATGTTGTCCAAAATGAACAGATACTTGCGTACAGAAAAAATTACAATGTAGAAAAAACATGTTACCGCGTTTTTTTAAATGTGCTTAATAACATTACAATCTTTTTTTAGTTACATGATAACCTATTAACATCTTTGCCGGAGGAAATCAGTAGCTTGACAAAATTAACAAAGTTATCCCTAAACCATAACAAGATTACTAATTTACCTCAAGGTTTTTATAACTTGACGGAACTTAAACAACTTTTTATTAGTCATAATTGTTTAGATACTGTCTCCAAAGATATTTCGGATCTGGTTATGTTGGAAAAGCTGGTAAGTATATGTAAATATATTTGAAAAGCTCATAGATTGTAAAACTTGCTAAAAATATCTAACTTTAAGGTAAAAGGGCCTAGGATGCATGGATGCGAGTGTAATTTTCTAAAAAAATTATTTATAGGTTCAATCTAGTCACGGATCTCGTGGAAGAAAAGAGATTCCATAAAACCAGAGACAGAAACATTATACACATAGAAGTAAAAAAAAAGCTCAGAGAGGTCAAGCAAAGATGATACAGTGATAGATGCGAAGAGAACAGGTGTTAGAGAAACATGATAACTTTAACCTACGTAAAAAATTAGACAAATAACAGGTACCAACAAAAAAATCAAACATACTGTTGAATGAAAACGGCAAAATAATTCTAGACGTGAGGGAAAGGCTTAAAAGATGGCAAGGATATATCCAAGACCTTGTTAAGAGCGAAAGAACCAAGATAGTACTAGAAAGGAAAATATTCAGACCTATAAAAGATACTGTGTTGGAAACGATAAAATGAACAAACAGCAATAAGGCAACAGCTCCTGATCAAATATTATTATTCTGGATTTACGAACTTTTGTGGGTCTTAGCCTCCTAAATTCTCCCCAGTCGTCTCTATCCATCGCATTCTTTTGCCAAGCATATATTCCCATAATTTTCATCTCTTCATCGATGTTAAGGAACCTTGTTTTGTGTCATTTTGTTCTATCCATATTACATGTTCCACCCACCTCAGACATCTTAACACATTTTATGATATCTGGTTCATCACAGTTTATCTGACGAACTTCTTACTTAGAAACCCCAAATGTTCTCGCCCGGTGCTAGAACAGAAAAATCACATTGTACTCAACGGAGAACGGCTTGATTTTAGACCTAGGACACCACTTAGGTGACCTACTTGGGTGTCTAAGTTTCAAAGACACTCATCTAGAAAAGTGACTCTCAATAGTGCAAGAAACACCCAATCTCCTAAAAGCAGTGGGTGGCAAATTTAGGAATAGCAACCACGTTACTTTCCTACATACATGTAAATCTTTCATTAGACCGATAATCGAATAAAGAGCTAAAATCTACACAACTCTTAACAAAAGACAAATCAACCAAGTCATGGCTACTAAGAGAAAGATCCTGAGGAGAATCATGGGCAAAGAACGTGATTATACGTCAGCGTTAATACACCGAATAACTAATATTCCTACTATCCAAGATAGGATACTAAGCAAGAGATACATTCTCTCCACTATAGAAAGCTCGAACAACAGAGCAAAGAAAGTTCTTAAAAAGACATGTCATCAACGAGGACGTCTAAACATAGCGGGCAACGAATTTCCTAATAAGTATGAGAATATCATTGAAACGATCACATTAAAATATCGTAGGCGATAGCCTGCAATTGTTGATCTAAGAGCAACACAGACCTGTACAAATAGTAACTGAATGTAAATGGTTAACAACCAACAACTTACAACTCAGTAACACCAATCTGGGAGAGTACTGAGAGCTAATTCACATCCACACCTAGCATCTACCACAACTTTCCAGCACAAACAACTGATATTTATAAATCCCCTATCCAGTCTCCTGCAACAAAAAAGGGAGCAGAGATACCTTAAAAACAAGAAAGCCTATAACGAGCTCTTCATAACGTTTTGCTCCGGCGGGGACGGATTTCTGTGTCCATAACAGTTTTACTGTTAAACTTAAAAGTGGGGATATAAAGGTCATGTTCCTCCCTCCGAATATCACAGTTATCTGACAACCTATGGACGAGGGTATTTTGGAGACGCTGAAAAGAAACTATAGAAGAATCCTTCTATCAACCATGATACAAGAAATGAACTATGGCCGAGACTTTATCCCTACATTGAAAGCCATCAATTTGAAAGATGTTTCCTACTGGATCTCAAGTGCATGAGATAAGGTTGGGGCATAAACAATTACTAAGTCTTAGGATAAGCTGTTGGGCGAGGATGAAGAAACTGCGGACAACACTCCGGATGAAGTTCAGGAAAATATTTTGCCCTTAGTGAAACTTATCCCTGGATGTGTGGATGCGTCTTTGGGCAATGTTGGAGAGTGGTTTTCAAGAGATGACCAGTATGAAATAACCGATGAAGAAATTGTTACTCTTATTAATAGTGAAGGTGGTGAAGACATCGAAGAACCAGAGAATCTTAAGCCCCACAAAGTTTCAGCGAAAGAAGGAGTAAAAATTTTTCTTAAGCTGCAATAAAATACGCTGAGCAACAAAAAGGAGCCACAGCTGTCGACATTGTGATGCTATAGAGATGGCGAGACTTGACAGCAACACAACGAGATACATCGGCAAAGCAGATGAAAATCACTAGTTTTTTTCGCTCATCCTAACCCATTATATCTACAATATCCGATGTAAGTCAATGTTAAACTGATTCTAGTTTTATTTTAATTATTTTTACATTAATATGTACATACGCTATACAGTATATTAAACACTTTTAAGAGTAAAGTCCGTTCCAATGTTATTACAGTAGGCCTAAACTTGTGTTTCATTTAACTACCTAGTATCCGCCATTTTAGCTTATCCGCCCTTCCATCGACCCGTTTATGGCGGATAACGGAGACTTTACTATATAAATCCAACGGATTATTTACTTTCATGGGACCACTAACTACCATCTAAGCCTGAGAATGTTAGCAGGAAATAGAAAATTTCGAGTTTTTAGTCAATCTTATCATTTTACTGTTTGTTGATGCGGATGTTGGTGCTATATTCTCTTGAGTGTTATGATAAGGTACATTGTCCATCACGGTGACACTGTTGGAACCTAGATTACGTAACTTTTACGTAATTTTTCTTCAAACCACTTTTTGTAGTTGACAAAATTCATATCATGGTAATCACCCGCTTTTGTTTGGGACTTCCGTCTCATGTAAGATCCACCGACAAAACCTGCTTCACTTCCAGTATCCACAATGATTCTTGGAGACGGGTTTTTTAAGCCCACTGTTCGTTCCATCAGGCCAACTATTACTGCAGTCTAAGCGAAAAAAAAACTATTACTGCGACTATGCTTAAAAGTAAATACAATAAATCATTTTTCATATCTAAATTATTGTTTAATCTGTCTTAAATATTGTAATCGCAGGTATCTTATATCATGTTTTTCCATTAAAAGTTTTAGATTATTTGCTGTTTTTTGCTAATTTCCAAACTAATATTTTCTTTGTCCCCTTTATACTCAAATTTTTCAACAAATCTCTATGAATTTTATTTACAGTGGGTACTTGTTTTTCAAAACAGGCCTTGTTCAACTGTTTGTGTTTTTTTTTTGAAGATTTTTTCCGCCTCTTATTCTTCTTTGTGTGCCGTTCTTGTATTCAAGCGTTGGCTATCGTCATATTGACAAGCTGATGAAATGATTCTCGGTCGGCAGCTAGATGAAACAGTTCCTCGACCGTTCGACCTGTCCATTGTCTAATGTTACGCAGCCAGGACAGTTGTTTTCTTCCGACCCAACGTTTTCCTTCGATTTTGCCCTGAATGATTAACCGGAGTAAGCGATATTTAGGTCCTCTCATTATATGACCGAAGTATTGGACCTTTCTCATTTTGATGATGTTGATCAATGCTCGCTCTTTGTGCACGGTCTCTAGCACAGGTTCGTTAGATACGTGTGCAGTCCACGGGATTCTGAGCATGCGACGGTAACACCATAACTCAAACGCTTCTAATTTGTTAAGATTTTTTATTTTTGTTGTCCAGGTTTCACATTCATAGAACAAAGTGGACCAGACGTAGCATTTCAATACTCTTAGACGTGTGGTCAACGACAGACTTCTACTGCATAATACAGAACGCCAGTTAATAAAGTTTTTCCGTGCGAGTTCTATTCTGGTCGAAATTTCCTCGTCACTTTCAACCCTGCAGTCAATCCAGCTACCCAGATATCTAAAGTGTTCCACCCTTTCCAGGATTTTGTTATCTAATCTTAGTACTGAGTCTTTGATATTAATTTTTCCGACCACCATCCATTTTGTTTTTATTATTAATAGTGACAAAACCCGATATATTTCCTGCTTCAATTTTGCGGCCCTCGTTTGCAATATTTTTGATACTATACACATAAACTCCTGACAATACAACCCAAAAATCTCAGATTGTTTACTATTTTTTTTTTTTTTTATTAGATTATATATCAAATTATCTGTCATACCAGCCACACGCTCGTACACTTTTTAAGTCAAAGATTTTTAATAGGAGCTGCTTCTTGTTGAACGAATTTTAATATTGAGTGTACTATTTCACCATTTTAAGAATTCAAATGTTTTCGCTTCTCTATATATTGTTGATGCATTTGTAGATTAAATGAACAATAACAAGATTCAAAATCAATAACATTAAAAATGTGAGATTTTACACAAAACTTATCAACATCGCGAATCGCTTCTTATAAAACTATTGACATAGGCAGCTCAGTGGTTCTCGATCACGAGATTGAACTGAAGGCTAGCTGGAAACTCTGTCCACTGTCTATTCATTTTCTGGTTCTATTGTAATATTGTCATAGTATCATAATTTAAGAACTTTTTGAAATGAATTTACAGCAACTGCTAAATTTAAAAATGATTTTCAGATCTTGAAGCTTTGATTTAGATGTTCCCAAGATGATGAGATGAATTTTAAAATGAAGTTATGTCTAAATCGTTAGTCTAAAATTTTCTTTAATGTAATAAAAGGAGATGATGATAAAGCATATTATTAGAGTTGTTTGGAAATATGATTATGATTATGAATATAGAAAAAGGCAATGTTATATCTATATAAGAAAAAAGAACTTATAAAAGTTGTTGAAGCTTCTTCTATAATTGAAGCGTAAACTTCATGTAAATATGACATATATTATAAAAGAATCTGTGATTTTTTAGTTAGAAACAGAACTTTTTCGTTTTCTTTATAGTTCACATTTTTTCAACTTGTAAAAGGAATTTCTTACCGGTATTGTTTTTGGCATTGACGTTTTATACCACAACAACGTCCTTCATTGCACACATTTTACTCCCTTGGTGTTAATTTATTTTTAAAGAATCACAGTGTTCGCTTCTGGCTTGCCTAAAAACATTTTGTTGCCGATTGTGGTATATTCTTAACAACACATATTTTTAACCAATATTATCTTTCATTTTAGGATTTGTCAAACAATGTGATATTAAGCTTACCTTCAGGAATAGGTTTTTTGGTAAGACTTACAGAATTAAATGTTTCGAATAACAAGCTTGCCAAATTACCACCGGATATTGTTAATTTAAGAGGTGAGTTTGTTAAATTAGCATATTTCATTGGCAGTGTTATTATAATTAAGAACTTATATATACACTCATATTTCTAAAGTAAACAGATGAATTATAAGCATCGCTGAATAGAACAACAGGATTCGGATACGGGTTGTGTATTTTATCAGTATCCTTGGAAAATCTAGAAAAGAAATCCTTGGTGAAGTACATGATATCAACATCATTCTAACTATTCTTTACATTAAAATTTCTAGATATTAGTGTTATGTTGTGCACCAGTGGCGGCTCGTGGTAATTTAAAAAAAGGTGTTGAATTAAGGAATGTATCGATTTTGAATTGTTAATAAGCACCGCAAGAAATTGCGACGCAGGGGAAAAATATTTGGGGATCTCGCCATTTTTTGTCTAAATTTTATATTATTTATTACAGTTGTTCCTATATGAATAAAACATAAAGGAAAGATGAGAAGTTTTATTGTCGTATGCAATACATTAAATCAATGCGACTTGAACCAAAATTTAAACTTTAAAAATAATATAAAAATGTCTGGGTGTTTTTTTGTTCAATTTATTGAGTTTATTGATTTTATTGCATTTAACACGAGCATTAAAGTCTGCAATTGTGGAAATCAACTCCTTTTCTATGCTTATACATAGCAAGTGAATTTAATCTGTTCTGCTGCATTGAATTTCTCAGTAAAGATTCAATCCTTTTCAGTGTAGAAAAACAACCTTTACTTTCGACACTTTTAATTGTACAGATTCATTTTAACAGCATGACAGTTTCACTAAAACATTCGGTTAGGTTTCTATCGATAAGAAATTGTAAGATTGCCAACGCATTTCCCGCATGATGAAAATCTTTTCTGTTATAAATAACACACAAGTCACTTAAGTTTTTCCTTCTAAAAGAAATTATAGGTTCGAGTAACGGTATCAAAATTAGCGATACGAAAGTATTTTTCATATTCGTTGAATTTTTTAGAAAAAAAAAGTTTTGAAGCTGAATGATGTTCAGTAAAATGAAACCTATCTTTGGCCTGATTAATCCAAATATCTCACACTTCTTTTGTTTGTGTAGAATATGATACCGACTGATGGCGCTTCTTCGGTGGTGAAGGTGGACGATCTAAGTTCCAAATATTTGAAGTGGTTTTGTCAAATTTTTTTAAAAATACCTTTATTTTAACGACACCCAAATTCCGAGATTGAAATAAAAATGATTTCACAGTGGGGCATTATTTAAGCGAAAAATGTAAACGAATAAATGAAACTTGCATTATTTAAATATCCCAGCAACGCCTTTGCTTGGTTTATTGTGTTAAAATCATGGACGTATAAACACAGATGGACACAGCAATAAGATACCTTTAACACACAATGTTTTGAAGCTTCGATAGAATGTGATGCTTCCTCAATGAGCATAAGCGTGCTTGAATTTTTACTCGCGGGGATAATTATTCAGACTTTAAAAATTGGAAGTAGTAATAATGTATAAAAACACGTTCAAAGAATTAAAAAAAAGAGAGTTTAACTATTAACAAATCACGTCTTTATAGAAAAATTTAAATACAATTTTATTTGCTTTAAAATTAATACAATAAAATATAGTTGAATTCAAGTTAATCTTTTAATAGGTATCAAAATAATGCTACAATAAAAAATCTTTATGTTTTCTCCTAAATTTGCTACCCAAATAGTTCGATCGTCAATATTATTTGGAAACCTACATAGAAAAATAAATGAGTTTTATTCATTTCACTAATTTATTTGTATCCATGAGAAATATTAAATTAAAAAGGTACTAAACAGATATTTTTTAATCAGATGATGTCTACTTACAATTTAAAAATGTCTACTAATTTCATAAACTCATATCTTATTTTTAATACATTAATGAACATGAATAAACCCAATGGTACGCCAGTTCCTCATCTTAAATAATGTAAACAGACAGTACTTACAAATGAAATGAGAGATCGGGATGTAAATATTTCGTTTTTTTTGCAAATGCAAAACTGTAGCACCATTATTATAATATGTTTATTTCACTTTTCACAAATATCACTCAAAATACAGCCAAAATATCGAAAAACAACTTTTCCTCATCTACTGTAAAAAGTAAACAAACATGCATTTGAAGTTTGACGTAGGCCATAAGACAGAGAAATGTAAACACCGTTGCCATTTATAAATAGTTTTCAGTGCTTCTACATATAAAATAATTGATTGATATCTATTATACGCTATTATTAAATGATAATGCACACTATGTGCACACTTGATATTTGGATTACAATTAAATATATTAATATAACAATAAATTATTATTTTGGTTTGATAGCACCTGTAGAGTATAAAATACGGAGTAATATTTTCAGTGACTCGCGAATAAGAAATTTTAATAAAAAAACGTGACAACAGTTGAAGGTGCTGAGAATGTGACATATTCAAATAATTTTGACTTCACAATTTTGTAGAGTATAAAATACGGAGTAATATTTTCAGTGACTCGCGAATAAGAAATTTTAATAAAAAAAACGTGGCAACAGTTGAAGGTGCTGAGAATGTGACATATTCAAATAATTTTGACTTCACAATTTTATGTAAATAACTGAGTCCATCTGTGTTTATACGTCCATGGATAAAATCATTCCCGTTGCTCTCTAATATACTCTCTAGACAATTTTTTAGAAGCTCTTTCTTTTCAAGAATTGTTCTGACAGTTCGTGCGTTCAAATTCCATCTCTTTGTTGGTGCTGTCGGAATCCTTTTTTTTTCACTATGCCGTCTAGCATGCTACTTCTTTTTGCTGATCTCGAAAAAAAAGGCGAAAATGCATGTAAATTGGCAAAAAAGTTGACTACATTTACATGAAAACAAACACTTTTCTACAATATTAATGTAGATTTATACTGATGTATACTTGTGTTTTATAAACTTTCATAAGGCGTTTGACCTGGTGAAACATGATAAACTAATAGATATTTTAAGGTCATGTAATATCGACGATAAAGACTTAAGGATCATTTCAAACTTCTACCAAGAACAAAAGGCTAAAATCAGAATAAAAAGCGAAACATCTGGAAAAATCAATATCGAGAAGGGAGTAAGACAGGGATGTGTCCTATCACCTTTGCTGTTCAATGTTTACTCTGAGAAGATATTTCAGAAAGCTTTGGAAGGCACCTCGGATGGTATAATTATAAACGGGCAATGTATAAATAACCTGCGATATGCTGATGACACTGTCATACTGGCAGATAATGCTGAAGCCCTGCAACGCTTAATGGACCGAGTAACGACAGCCTGTAGAGAATTTGGAATGAAATTGAATACAAAGAAGACAAAAACGATGGTCATCAGCAAGCACCAAAACAGAAGGGTGAAGGTCAATGTCGACGGAACAGATCTGGAAAGAGTAACAAGAACAACGTACCTTGGAAGTAATCTTGATGAAACTTGGGACCACTCACTAGAGATAAGAATACGCCTGGAAAAGGCACGTACAATGTTTTACAAAATGCAAAAAGTTCTATGCAACCGCCAGCTGGGCATCTCATTGAGAACTAGAATACTTAAGTGCTATGTTTTCTCCACCTTGCTCTATGGTGTTGAAGCCTGGACAATGACAGAAGCAACACAAAAAAGAATCCAAGCATTCGAACTCTGGTGTTACCGTAAAATGCTCAGAATATCCTACATGAGCCATACGACAAATGCGGAAGTCTTGCGGAGGATGAATAAGGAAAGAGAGCTTATGCTTATAATAAAAGAACGGAAAACACAATATTTTGGTCACATCATAAGAAATCAAAAGTATGAACTGCTCCAACTTATAATCGAAGGCAAAGTCAATAGCAAAAGAGGACCAGGAAGAAGACGCAACTCTTGGCTTAAAAACCTACGGCAATGGACGAACATGACCTCCATAAAACTATTTAGGGCTGCTACAAATAAGAATAAATGGGCAAATGTAATGGCCAACGTCCTTAAGGATAAGGCACCGTAAGAAGAAGAGACAATATTAAACTAAATTGATGTGCATAACAATGTAAATCTTTTCTTATAATACTTTGAACGTCACCTTCCGTTCCTGACATTACAGCCGCTCCATCATAGCTTTGACCTACTAGCTGATTTACGGAAATATTAAGCAGTTCCAACTCTTTTCATATTTCTGTAGCTATGTCACTGGCACTATGTGAAACAAGTTCTAATAATTTTCAAAAACGTTCGTAAATTTAGCCATTCCGCTCATATCTTAAAATTATAACAAGTGCTGATGGGTAGAAATAGCAGTAGTTTAATCACCCTGAACGGATACAAACCGTGCCTCTGAAACCTGTTTTTAATCTCTTCCTGGCAAACAGTTACAATAGCATCTAATATGTCATTTAAAAACATTATTTTCCTGCAAATTTTGTTTCATAACCATATCGATTTCTGATACAAAATCAATGAGGCCCCTGTATATTCCTGGATTTAAGCTTTCTGATAACTTATCATGTCCCCAAAAAGCTACTTTCAATACGTCACAAAATTTTACGCAATCGATAAGACGGGACAAAATGTAACGATTTTTTTTTAACTTAATCGTTAAAGTCTTTTATTGAGATTCGATAGCCAGAATCTAATAATTGCAAACATCAATATTACCAATATCCGAGAGTTGCAATTTTTTTTAAATGAATTTGGGAAGAGCCGTGTTTTTTAAGTTTTCTTGATAAGTGAGATAAATCCTAAACGCCGTTTTTGTCCACTCTGAAGAAATAGTTTCATTATTTGAAAACACTAAACATGGAAAATAAAACAAAGAATGTAGTTTGTCACACACGCACAACCACGAAGTTTTTCTGTATTGTTCAACTTAAAAACAACGTTTAAACTTTTTGTTTCATATGGCACATTCTTCTACCAAGTTTATATCTGGCCGAGGTGGTCCATTCTTTTTTATACGAAGTCGATCTTCAAAATTCTTTGCGTTTTCTTTTATAAACACTGAATAAGGCTCCATCCTAAAACTACTAAATTTAAGATTTAACTAAATCCCTACTACAGAAAATACCAAACTAGAATCGAAACGCTCCGGTACCTTTGTGCAATGCCAAAACTTCACTGTTTTAAATAGATTTTAAGATTTATTTTTCTAACTACAGGATTACTGCCCACTGTCTGGGTACAATTTGAATTCCGTACTTGAAGATACTATGATATTTTATTTTTTTTTAATATTTTAATGATACTACACTTCTCCAAGAAATTTACGCACCACTTCAATAAATCAGTCAAAGAATAAAAAATAAAACTTCACCAGATTTATTCTACATTTTATTAGTAATTATAACAATTTGTCTAATCATCAGAAAATGTTGTAGTACAGGAGAAAAAAAAACAAAACGGAAAATTCTAAAAAAATAATGATAAGAAAAGCAAACTAAAATATGAAAAAAGCCTTAATAATGAGTGTTTCCACCTCTACTACGTATGACAGCCTCACATCGTTGGCCCATACTTAAAATTAATTGCCGTATTTCATTTTGGTCTAGTTCTCTCCAAATCTGGATCAGCCTCTCTCCCACTTCCTGTAAGTTGTTTGGTTGGATCGGTGTCGATCTTAATCGCCTACCAAGGATATCCTAGAGATTTTCAATCGGATTTAAATCCGAACTATGTGCTGGCCATTCCATAGTGTTAATTTCTACCTCTTCTAGATAATTACTGACGATCTGTGCAGCGTGAGGTCTGGCATTATCTTGCATTAGTAAGAACATGTTGCTCCAGGATCTTCAATATGTACCTTTCATGTGTAACAGTTCCATTTTGTATCACCACTAGGTCCGTACGTGCGGTCAAAGAAATACCACCCCACACCTTAACGGATCCTCCACCAAAAAATGTGGTGTGTGAGAAGTTACACTGACCACTGTCGTTATTGTACAAACAAAATCGGGATTCATCAGTAAATAGCCTCGTTCCCAGTCAGCCTCTAACCAATTAACGTGTTCTCTGGCAAAATGTAGTCTCCCCCTTCGATGCTCTGCAGTTAATAGAGGACCTCGGACGGTAATCCTAGGTGTTAAGTTGTATTCCCTAAGTCGCTGGCGAACAGTTTCAGTACTAATTTGTATAGCATGCACGTCTCGAAGCTGAATTTGTAGACTTCGATGTGTTACAAAACGTTGTCGAAGAGCAGAAATTCTTAAAAATCGATCTTGAATAGGGGTAGTTACCCGGTTTCGTCCTTGCCCTGGTCTGCGAGTATGATCCCCTGTTTCGAGGAATCTTTCTAACACCCGTGAGACGGATGTGTGGGACACATTAAACCGACGACCAATTCTTCGGTAACTCCAACCTTCTTCCGACAGTATCACTGCTTGGACACATTCATCTCGGGTTAAATTACGTGATTGACGTTCCATAATAAACACAATTAACAATAATCAAGAATTAAACAGTAGTCGAATAAAATTCGTGAACACTTGGAAATTAGTATATTTTTTATAGAATTAGTACATTTTTTGCTTCTTTTTGTTTTGTGCAAAAAAAACTATAGCGATAAAACACAGTCAATAAATATAGAGTGTACGAATAGCGTATACAAGGGGCTTGCAAAATATAACATTACAATGGAAATTTTTATTAACGCTAATAAAATATTTTAATATTTCAAATTGGTGCGTTAATTTCTTGGAGAAGTGTATAATTATTAGATTAAAAAAAACTGTATTTTAATGAAATTTTATTGGGTATTCACTGCACAAGTGAATCAATGGAGAAATCGCCCCTGGTGGTGCCTAAACCATTGTTTAAGATCTTACCTTCTCATCTTTTTCAAGGACATTTAATTTCTTCTCCAATGGATAACTTAATATTTTTTTGTCCAACAGTTGCCACAAAATTGAGTTCGAAATTTATGTTGCGTTAGAAGTAATTAGATCTTGGCTGCACTAAAATTGATGATTTTAAAGGCCTCTTTAAACTTCCTTAAATTAAAATGGTTAGAATATTAGTTTCGTAGTCGCTACACATTCTATTTAATTATTTTAATTTTATAAAGTAATTAGAGAAAAAACAATTAAAAATCAAATACGTGCTTACGCATTACCTATCTTAATAATTGTTCAGAATGTTGTGTATTGTACTCTGAGCAATAATAAAGTCTGTTTCCGAACTTATCTCTAATATTTTGGAAAACTTAAAATTAAATTGAACAGCATAATTCGTTTTTTAAGTTCATCAATATCGTTAGGTTGTGTTTTATAAACAACAGAATACGATATCTCCAAAAAAAGATCTAACGGATTTAACTCCGATGGTCTCGAAGGCCATTTGATTACTCCACTTATGCCATCTAAACTATTTGGAAATTTCTCGCTAACCATTGTCAGACAAGCGGAGAATAATGGTGTGGAGTGCTTTCCTGCTGGAACTGTAAAAGATCCTTCTGTACTATCCTGTAGATATTACCTTCTCCATACATTTGAATCTCTAGATCCACAGTTATAAGAGGACCAATAATTTTTAAGGTAGTAAGATACAGATCGCCTAACAAGTTTTCTTCATTAAATAAAGGCCCACTAATTGCCAGTTCCAGGAATACCAGCACATACGATGGCTGTCTGCCCCACCTCCCGACGGCTCTACTGGTGCAAGAGAAATTTACTATTATGTAGTACATTCTCGTAGACGGCTAGTGTCAAAATTTCAGCCGAATATTCAGTTATTTTTAACATAAGTAAGTAATTATCATAAAAAGGATGCATAAGAGTGTCGGGGATTGGTTAAAAAAATAAAATTTAATAAATTAAATAAAATCATGTGCCAGTTGACCTCCCTACTTAAAATTGTAAAGGTAACATTTACTCTTGCTAAGGAGTTAAACCTTGAGGACTAAAAAGATTCACTGGAATTCTCTCCCGTAAAAACAAAATTAACCTGTCTTTCCGATTTTTATGTTATTTGCTGAAGATATTAAAGGTAGAACATTATCAAATTGTCACCCTGTATGCTATGTGAGTACGAGCCCATTCCCATATCAGTTGGCCCAACGTTAGATTCATGAGAAAATTAATCCTCAACACGTTAAAAGTGGCTTTTCCTTAACCTAAAATAAAATGAAATTTATTAAAAACAATTCGAATTATTTTTTCAACTATAAAACTTACTTTGTAAGTACCAAATTCTAATCTGTAGGCCTCTCAGTGACATTATTATTGTTTTGATGTCATTGGTCAATAGCTACGTCTGAATTTAACGTAATTATGAAAAAATCAACGTATGTTGACATACCTAAGTGAATGCAAAGCCAGGGCACAGAATAATAAACAATTAGAATGTCCACTCTCAGATGCCGCCTTTGAAGTTTTTCAGCACGCGCGCCATGTTTTAGAAGGAAACACATAACACAGACATATGATTTGTGAGGTTATGTAATTGTTTATATTTATGTTTAATTATATTATATTTATGTTATTATATTTAACAATGTTAATATAATTGTATAGTATGTCTATGATTGCCGTAAGTCAATTAAACCGGGTTAATTTTTCTATGCACACCACATAAACAACACTGGTTCCCTCTAAAACATGGCGGAACGTCTGCGCGAACGAGATGCGCGTACTTAATTTTCCATGGAGAGTGGGCATTCTGATTGTTTATTATTCTGTGGCCAGGGTTTAGTGACATTTTTTTTATTGTTGAAAATAAATAATAAACCATAAGGGTAATGTTTTTAATAAATATTAATAAACATTCCATATTAATTAATATGGGAACTTATAAAAACATGCAGAGTATAATTTGGTTATGGTAATCGACTTAAACCGCAAATTCCATAGGTGGGCCAAATGATATGGGAAGGGGCTCGTAGATATTATGAAAAATATAATTTCTTGATTTTTTTTAAATTTCAGCATTATTAAAGATGGATATTAGTCATAACAGTATTACACATTTGCCAGATATGGGAGAACTGAGAAAATTACAAATTTTATATGCTCAACACAATGATATTCAAGAAATTCCAGGATTTTTTGGATGTGAACAAGTACATGAAATTTATTTTGGCAATAACTTTATAGAAGTACGTATTTGGTGTCTTATAAGATCGAGTTACTTTATATTGTAGTTATCTTTTCTTTAACTAATTATTTTTCTTTATACATCACATTTAGTATTTTATTACGGGTACAATGAAATTCAATTTTTGTTACCGAAATATTCAATCTAAAGCTGATAGATAAATTGTCCAAGTGTTTTTTAAACTGGATTACTAGACGCTCAGGATAGACGTGAGCTGCTCGCAATTCGGAAGAGGGATGCTGAATTTGTTTGTGGCTTAAATTACAGAGTCGCCACGGTTTCTATAAATATGTCCATATTTATAGGAACCGATTTCTTTGTAGTACTACTGCTACTATTATTCTGTATATTAGCTTATTAATCAATTCTTTTAGATTACAATTTTAATTTTTTTAGGAAATACCTCTTGAATTTTGTGAAAATATGAATCATCTGAAAATACTAGAACTAAGAGATAATCAGATTAAAGCTGTGCCTTCAGAAATTACAAAGTTAGCTCATTTAACTAAATTTGACATAACCAACAATGACATTGAGGAGTAAGTATTGCAAACTAGGGATATATTTCATTTTCTACAAAAAAAACTTGCGAGGAAACAAGTTTTATTTATTATAAATTTTGTTTTGCGTTTATCTATCTATTTATTTCAATACCTGTCTTTTCCCCTTTTTGAATTCCATTTTCTATAGCACAAGATCCTACTGCAGGATCACTACGTTTATCATGTAGTTAATCGAACTCACATGTTTACATACATTTAAAATTACGAGAATACATTGATAATAAGTTGGCAGTCAAAAAAGTGGCCACAAATATTTTTAATTCAATTAATAGTAATTAATATTTCGTTGATTTATTTTTTAAATAAAATACTCTGCTCATGACGTACATGCATGTTTTTTATATCAAATTAAAGCTAATTTTTTTCTTAATATTTTGATATAAGGTTGCCTGAGAGAAAAAATGGTCGCAAATTAAGGTTGTCAGCTGTTGAAAACGCGAGTTATCAAAGATAAAGTAAAATAAAGTTAGCGCGCAACGACACGGAATTGACAAGTGGATAATATGTAGGTATATTATTATACAGTGCTAGTCAAAAGTCCGTTCCCCCCTCGTATCTTTTGAACGGTTATTGTTATAATAGTGAAATTTGGAGGGAGGTAATAAACAGACGTAGGCTTCTCAACTAGTCATAACAGGTGACGTAATAGTGACAGATGACGTTACAGCGCCACTGTGACAGATAATTTTAAATGGGACCTTATGGCAAGTGATACATCGTTTGAAAGGTATTGAAAATACCTATTCAGTTATAATAATTTTGTTTGAGTTTAAGCTAATTTAGATGAATAAATTAAATAAATACTAAAATTGTAGCTTCTCATTTAATTGATAAATATTTAATAACCAGTTCTTCTAGTAAGTGTTCAAAATGTGCTCCATCTACTTCCTGACAGTAATGCTTCCTATTTCTAAACTCTTGCCGTACTCGTTCAAATGTGTCGGGGGAAATTGCCCTACATTCTTCAACAATTCGTTCTTTGAAAATGTCAATATTGTCGGTTGCTGTAGCGTAAACTTTAGATTTTAAGTATCCCCACAGAAAAAAAATCTAATGGTGTGAGGTCCGGTGACCGAGCTGGCCATTCTTTCGTACTTCGTCGTCCAATCCATCTACCACGATATTCCTCATCTAGGTAACGTCTTACTGCACCATAATGGTGTGCAGGGGCACCATCTTGTTGAAACGTTATTTCCAAGTTACCGAATTCATCTGGATTATCCTCCAGAATTTCAAGTATTAATGGTTCAATTGCATTTTGTAACATCTCTAGATACACTTCACCGGTTAAATTAGTATTGCTAAAAACAGGCCCAACTATGTGGTTTCCCAAAATACCTGCCCAAACATTTATTTTTTTTTTAATTCAGTATGTGTTTCACGAAAGACGTGAGGATATGTGTCACTCCCAATACCTCACATTGTGTGTGTGTTAACATTTCCATTGAGAGAAAAAGTACTTTTGTCACTAAAACAAATTGTTTTTATGTAATTGGGCTGTTGGTTAATTTTATTGGACATATTTTCACAGAATTCTAGTCTTCGGTTGGGGTCATCATCTGAAAGTTGGTGCACAATGTTTAATTTGTATGGATGAAATTTGTTTTGAGCCAACACTCAGTGTACTTTGTCTTTTGACTAATTCAATTTTTTTGTCATCACTAATTGTTGGTCGACCAGATCGTTTGACATCTTGAACACTACCTGTTTGTTTAAACTTCCGAAGAAGCTTTCTCAAATAAGATCTCGATATAGGGCGATCGGGGTACCTCTCATTAAAAAGACGTTCCGCTGCATGGAAATTATTTTCACATTCACCAATTATCACAGCTGCTATTTTGTCGGCTGCAGTACGTACCATTCTGCCTTTGTAAAAATTTAAACGTCTCGTTAAACAATAATTAAACTAAATATTAACTAAGAACAACTAACTAAAAACAACTTGACTAAACTTAGATTGACCAAACTAAGTAGAAACAGAAACTAAATATTGGGCTATAAACGCTTTTGCAAACTAAAATCAACTAGAGAATTGACAAACGTCAACTTTTTTTGCCAAATAACTAAAGGCTGACGTTAGAATTAAATGCCAAATTAGAATTTTAGTATTTATTTAATTTATTCGTCAAAAGCATCTTAAATCCAAACAAAATTAGGATGATTGAATAGGTATATTAAAATAATTGTAGTTTTGCATTTAATCAATAAATATTCTAACGTTCGCCTTTTGCTAATTGTCAAAAAAGTTGACGTTGACGTAAAAACAATTAGAGAATTGAAAAACGTCAACTTTTTGACAAGTAACCAGAGGCGGAGGTTTTAATATTTATTAATTAAATGCGAAACTACAATTTTAGTATTTATTTAATTTATTTCTCAAAATGAGCTTAAACTCAAATAAAATTATTATGACTGAATAGGTATTTTCAATGCCTTTCAAACGAGGTATCACTTGCCATAAGGTCCCATTTAAAATTATCTGTCACAGTGGCGCTGTAACGTCATCTGTCACTATTACGTCACCTGTTATGACTAGTTGAGAAGCCTACGTCTGTTTATTACCTCCCTCCAAATTTCACTATTATAACAATAACCGTTCAAAAGATACGAGGGGGGAACGGACTTTTGACTAGCACTGTATATCTATCAACGCATGCTTTAAAAACTTACATAACTGACACTTCAAACCAGTAGTGTTGCACGCTAGCTGTCTTTTACTTTATCGTGTTTACTTTATTCGCGTTTTTAACAGCTGAGAACCATAATTTACGACCATCCTTATGTCATCATATTAAAAAAATAGATTTAATTGGAAATAAAAAACGTGTATATACATGTAATAATGTGAGTTTGATTAACTACGTTATGAACGTAGTGATCTTGCAGTGGGATCTTAGACTACTAATATATGTGTACTTTTATTGACTACAATGACTTCATTTCCCCATCCTTTTTGTTGTATTGCTCCAGTATTTTTGTCTCTTTGTCTATAACTAATGTGCTTTTTTCCTTAACAATAAATTTTTTGTGTATGACTTGCCATTGCCCAGTAAGGATTTGCTGCTAAGTAACTGCAATTCTGTTTATTTGCGGTAAAATGGAAAATATCGGCAAGAGAAGCAAGGGAAAATGTATCAAAGAATGATATTCACACATATCTGACTATTAATCTTTTAACCACAAATTCAATCTAACTGGGGGATATTTAAGCACAAATTTGATCTAATTGTGGGATATTTTGGATGTAAGTAAATAACTCAAAAACCATTATACTATCATTCATCGTAATGTACCAAAGAAAATTCCGCATATTTTTAAATATCAGAGGAGCAAACAGCTACTCTACATGCGTTAACATCGATGGAACTAAATCATGTTTGTTTTCCTTTCATCCTCCTCCTCATTCCTTGAGACCTTGTCAGGGCGTGGTGGCACTCTAAATATTATTAGCTTGCTGTTTTCATTGGCTGCGATCCTCTGCTATGGACGGTAGTTACATATGCCTGTTTTTCTAGTTATGTGGCCGAAGTAAATTAGGTATACTCGGCTTACTTTTTTAATAGCTGTTGTAACTGTTCAATGGAAAACGGAATCTTGAATTCTTCCAGTTACTTACTTGTTGGTTTTAGTAAAGAACTCAAAACCGTAAATGAAACTGTTTAATACTTCTATGTAAACGTAAATGTAAAAACATAAAGAAATGTAATTGTTTGTAATAATGAAATAAAAATAAATGTTACAAATATATTATTACAATGCATGGTGCTAGTTCGATGTCTTGAAACAGACTGTTTTTTCCGACCGGAGGGTTGAATTCAGCCAGATTCCTTCAAAATAAGCCGTAGCCGGGACCCGTTATCAGATACCTTCGCGATCAAGCTTTCGCCGGGATCAATTGCAAAAGACGACAGGAGCGTCGTCAGGTCATTTAGGTTTTAACAATAGCCTGTCTTTTATATGCAGCTCTTCCATAATTGACAGGTTGGTTCTATGTTCTGTACAGGACACGTAGAATTCTTCTATAGACCCACATTTCGAAGGCTTCGATCTTACTTCTATCGATTTTTTTGAAAATACCTGTTTTAATTGCACATATAGCAATGGGAAAAATGAGGGCATTGGCCAACCTGAGCTTAGTGTATTCCTTGTTGGGGTCGGTCTTTCCATATTTTAATCAATTTAGCTGTTGCAGTTCGGGCCATTGCTAGTATAAGCTTGAATTCTGAGAAACAATCGCAATTGTTGGTTATCAGGGAGCAAAGTATACAAATCTGTCTACCACTTCGAAATTCGCCACTTGGTGTATTTGCGTTAGATTATTATTTGCTCTGTATACGATCATTATTTTTGTTTTCCTGTGTTGATCTGAAGTCCGAATTCTTCGCTTATCCTGCTTAGCCGTTCATTTTAGGTATCATTTTGACTTCAGCCGCCTGTTAGTATAAGTGTCATCTGCTTATCGCAGTTTGCTGATTTTTCTACCCCCTATAGTGATTCCTCCATCCCATTCGTCTAGTACTTTTCTTATTATATATTCAGAATATATGTTGTATAATAACGGTAATAGTAAGCAGCCTTGTCTAGTTCCATTATTTGTTTTGTAGCAGGATTTTGCTCGCTTCAGGAATAAGAGCACTAGTTCTGTAATTGCTGCATACAGTTAGTGATCTTTTTTTATGGATAGGGATAAATGTTGATTACCAATCGATATGCCATCGACCCCTGGGGACGATGTCGTAGTTGGTGGAGAGCCTTCTCTACTTCTGATCGTAAGATTATTGGTTCTGCATCTCTGATTACGTGATTTTTCTGAGCAGTAATTTTTCCATGGCTCTGTAAAGCTATCTATGTTGGTTTTTACTTCTTATTATGGTCTTGAATGGCTTGAAATTGTGACTTGAACTCTCGGATCAAATATTTAACTTTTTTTTTCAAATAGTTCATGACTTTCATGGCGGTTTCCTGTTCTTGAAACACCTTACTTATATGGTTGTGTTTATCTCGGTTCTTCCTTCCCACTTAGCGAGAATTAGCGTAAACTTATCACCTTTCCGTGTATGTGAAAGTACAACGGTGGATCATAATCATTTAATATTTTAATTTTTCATGTATAACCAACATAAACAAATCCACATTGACATAAAACAGAAATTCGAGTTAAAATATGTCCCCCTATGGTCTTATTTTCTATATAATTTCATCAATGATATAATTGTACAGTAGACGACTCAGGGAGGCTTGTATATGTTTTTCATTTCTTAATATTGTCCACTGGTATAAATCCATTAAATCATGTATTTGCACTCGGTCAAAAGCTTTATTTAATTATACACTATTGTACCATGCTTTATTCTAAGAATTTCTCTGTGATTTATTACGAAAACTGCATTTGTGTACGATCGATCGGTCCTAAACATTTTCTGCTCCGCTTCTAGTGTGGTTCTTTGAATAATTACCTTTATTAGTATTAGTATGGTTAGCTTTAAAGTTATGTTCAATGGGTTTATTCGACAGTAGTTATTGGGTTGTCACGATCTCCTTTCAAAAAAAAAACATTAATAATATTGCTGATTCTATTTTGTATAGTTATTCTTCATATTAACTTCTAAAGTTGTTTAATGTGAATGTTTTTATTTCGCGTGTTTCGTTTCTTATGAGCTTGTATTCATTGTATGGCACTGTGGTTCTTCATGATCTATACCTTAGGAAAGTTTTCTCATCTTTGTTATTTATATTTAGTCCTAGACATATATTACTATTATTAGAATTTTTTAACTTATATTATTTGCCCTTTCTACAGTTTTTAATTATTAAAAAATCGTCAAATTTTATATAAAAAAGGTTGTTTGTCTATATATTTTAGGTTACCAAATGCAATAGGACTTATGCCACACCTCCAATCCTTCAAGATTGATGGCAACAAACTAAAACAAATAAGGCCGGATATCATCCACACTGGTACTAACAGAATCCTTCGACATTTGAGAGAGAAAATCAGCGATGAGGAGTTACAAATCTTATCCGTTCCTTCAGATGTATCGTACGATTGTAAAATATATCCTGACCGGTAAATAATTTATTAAAAAATTCACTACCAATATTTTTACAACTTTTAAAAAAGCCAGTGGATATATTTACCACAACACATACCTCTCTAGCATGGTATCTCCCATAGTAAGAGTAAGAAGAAAGAACACACTCTCTCTCTCTCTCACTCTCTCCTCTCTCTCTCTATATATATATATATATATATATATATATATACATCCTACTATCATTTTGGCATCGATACATTATGCTTTTACCATCAATTTAGCATCGTCTTGCAAAGTAGCATCTGTATATCGACGCTACTTTACAAGACCTTAATAACTTTTTTCCTGTACTTGTTACAAGAATTTTAACCATCTCAATGATTAGAGATTTGATACCGTGTTGGTATTTTAAAATGTCCGCTTTCTCTTTTTATCCCTTACTGAGTTATATAAGTTTATTCCAGGAAATGTTTGAGTCTAAAATGATGGTACAGTGAAAATATTATATATATTTAGTTCAGGGTTTTACCGTTTACTCGCTGCCATTATATACATGAAAATGTATATCGCACTTTCATTATCAATCATTTTGGCATCAGAAATTTGGCATCGCTGTTGAATATAATATTACCCACAACGAAATGGTAAATTTAAGAATTTATATATATTTTTTTCATCCATAAATCATTCTAGCATCTTGTTTGATTAAAAATAACGGGTTATATATTGGGTATATATAACGGGGTATATATTGCATATTTTTGCTCCAATTGGTCCAGTCGTGATGTACAGCACCTCAAATGATAGGATTTAACCAATAAAATACAATAAGACAGAAAAGCAGCATGTCAAAAAGGCCTTAGTTATATATCTTCGTTTCTATAAGTCCAATCGTGACGTACAGTATCTCAAATGATAGGATTTAACCAATCGAAAAGAATGAAATAGAAAAATCAAATACAGCAACATGTCAAAAGGGCCGTAGTCACGTATTTTTGATCCTATTAGTCCAATCGTGACGTATAGTACCTCTAATGATAAGATTTACCGTAAGGAATACAATGGGATAGAAAAATGAAATACAGCACAATGTCAAAAGGGCCTTAGTTGTGTATCTTCGGTTCTGTTAGTCCAATCATGACGTGCAGTACCTCAAATGAAAGGATTTAACAAATAAAATACAATGAGATACAATGAGGTAATGGAGTTGCATGTCAAAAGGGCCTTAGTTATGTACCTTTAGTCCTTTTAGGCCAATAGTGACGTACGATATCTCAAATGATAGCACTTAACCAATCTTCTTCTTACGGTGCCTTATCCTTAAGGACGTTGGCCATTACATTTGCCCATTTAATCTTATTTGTAGCAGTTCTGAATAGTTCTATGGAGGTCATGTTCGTCCATTGCCGTAGGTTTTTAGAAAGAGTTGCAAGAGTTTTTTTGCAAGAGTTGCGAGAGTTTTTTTGCAAGAGTTGCGTCTTCTTCCTGGTCCTCTTTTGCTATTGACTTTGCCTTCGATTATAAGTTGGAGCAGTTCATAATTTTGACTTCTTATGAAGTGACCAAAATATTGTGTTTTCCGTTCTTTTATTATAAGCATAAGCTCTCTTTCCTTATTCATCCTCCTCAAGACTTCCGCATTCGTCGTATGGCTCATGTAGGATATTCTGAGCATTTTTGGATTCTTTTTTGTGTTGCTTCTGTCATTGTCCAGGCTTCAACACCATACAGCAGGGTGGAGAAAACATAGCACTTAAGTATTCTAGTTCTCAATGAGATACCCAGCTGGCGGATGATAGAACTTTTTGCATTTTGTAAAACATTGTACGTGCCTTTTTCAGGCGTATTCTTATCTCTAGTGAGTGGTCCCAAGTTTCATCAAGATTACTTCCAAGGTACGTTGTTCTTGTTACTCTATCCAGATCTGTTCCGTCGACATTGACCCTCACCCTTCTGTTTTGGTGCTTGCTGATGATCGCCGTTTTTGTCTTCTTTGTATTCAATTTCATTCCAAATTCTCTACAGGCTGTCGTTACTCGGTCCATTAAGCGTTGCAGGGCTTCAGCATTATTTGCCAGTATGACAGTGTCATCAGCATATCGCAGGTTATTTATACATTGCCCGTTTATAATTATACCATCCGAGGTGCCTTCCAAAGCTTTCTGAAATATCTTCTCAGAGTAAACATTGAACAGCAAAGGTGATAGGACACATCCCTGTCTTACTCCCTTCTCGATATTGATTTTTCCAGATGTTTCGCTTTTTATTCTGATTTTAGCCTTTTGTTCTTGGTAGAGGTTTGAAATGATCCTTAAGTCTTTATCGTCGATATTACATGACCTTAAAATATTTATTAGTTTATAATGTTTCACCAGGTCAAACGCCTTCTGAAAGTATATAAAACACAAGTATACATCAAAATCGACATCTCTACATCTTTCAACTAGCACACGTACTGAAAAAAGTGCTTCTCTTGTTCCGTACCCATTCTTAAAACCAAACTGAGTTTGACCAGTGTGTTCGTCTAGTTTATTGTATACTCTATTGTGTATTACTCGTAGGAAAAGTTTCAATATATGATTCATCAGGCTAATAATCCTATGGTCTTCACATTTCTTGGCGTTTTTCTTCTTTGGTAGTGGTATAAACACCGATGTCAGCCAATCATTTGGTATTATGCCTGTTTCGTATATTTTGTTAAATATATCTTCCATTACTTCGATGTGTTCGTCTAGTAATATCTTTATTATTTCAATTGGGATATTATCTTCCCCAACAGCTTTTCCGTTCTTTATCTGATTTGCCGCTTTGATAATTTCTTGCTTTGTGATACAAGGTCCAGTCGATGCCTCCTGCATGTAAATGTTCGTCCTCTCTCGGTCTTGAAACATCTCTTCCACGTATTCTCTCCATCTACCTATTTGATCTTCTCTGTTCAGTAGCGGGTTCCCATGTTTATCTTCGATGAAAGACGTAGGAGTTTGTTTAAATATTCCAGCGGCTTCTTTTACTTTTTTATGTAGATTGAAAGTATCATGTCTTTGTTCCAACTCTTCAATTTCTTGGCATCTTTCACTTAGCCAGGTTTCTTTGGCTTGTTGGATCTTTATTCTGCTATTCTTGTGTATTTGCTTGTATGTTGTTTCATTTTTACCTCTGTATTTTCTTCTTTCGTCCATCATGTTTTGAATTTCTTTTGTCATCCATGGTTTGTTACTCTTGTAAGTGTTTTCTCAATATAGTGCCAGTCTTCCTCTGGAGTTTGTGTCGATTGTACTGTTCTGTTACTCAAGTGTCTATGTATTTCTTCCCGTATTTTATTACTAGTGGATTCTTCTTTAAGCTTATCTGGGTTAATAGCTATTATTTGCTTATTTCTTTTTGTTCTTTTAAATTCTATCCTAATTGTTGTAAGAAGAAGATTGTGGTCGGTGGGGATGTCCCTAGTATTTTTAAAATATACCAATTAGATAATAATAATCAAGCAATAGAACACTGAAAACTTTTGTTTTTAACTGTCCGCCCGTGAATGACTTGCCTTTTTTTAAATAATACTTCATATTGCACTTTTTTATTGTATTTTTCTCATTTTTTAAGATAATTCTTGTAGGAATATATTTATTTATAACATACGGTCTTATGGTCTCACGACAAGTATTACGGCTTGATTATACAACCTAAATATATCTTGTACCGCACTGTTAATTGAGAATTATGTTTGTAATGCGATAAGAGGACCGTATATACGAGACACCAGTGACTTATGCCACACATAAAACTTCGACAGGAAATTCTATTTCTACATTTCTATAAAAAAAATAGATTACTTGTTTTGTGTAATAATTTAGTTTAGGTCGAACAAGAGTTGCAGTAAAAAATTTTTCTGAAATAGAATTTAAATCATATTTCGAATGCTTTGTGAAAGATAACCAATTTATAATATTCCCGACAACGTAAAAACACATTTCTTTTAGAATATGGGTCGACGAATTCAAATCATAGTTCAAGAAACGAATTTATGTGCAGATGTTCTATTACAAAAAATTCAAAACCAAAATCTAGATTAAAAAAGTCGCAACTACTTATACTGAAACTTCACCCCATTATTGATTTCACAAGTGATAAAATGGGTCGACAAAGAACCAGTTTTAATTATTACAACATTTAAACATAATAGTTGTATCTTGGTTTATTCAGGTGGAAAGAAAAATTAGACACAAGTGCTAAAACCACAAACTATTCTAGATTATAACGTTGTGAAAAAAGAGTTGATTTTAGCGATCAAATGGCTTTGTACAAAAGCCCAATACGCAAAATACTAAAGTGGTACCGGAAAGTGGCAGTGGAATTAATATTTAATACCGCAGTAGTCAATACTTAGTTGCTAAATAATAGAAAACGCGAAAAAAGCGACAACCTATCCTTGAGTTCAGACTGGAATTAGCGAAGGCGTTTGTAAATAAAGAAATGTTGAAACCCTGATGACTAATTACACCCAAAAAATACCATCTCAGGCAAAGCGATGTAGATAATAAAAAGAGAAGGAAGTGTACAAGAGGTTACAAAATTTTAAGAATAAGCGTGACTAGTAGAAAGGCCGATAGAAAAATTTAAAAAATTAAAACATACTGTGAAGAATGTGATAGCAAAACTGCAATATGTCTAGTGTGCTTCAATAAAGCAAATTAAAAAGCAATTTTACTTATACAGGAACTATTATTGAGTAAAAACGTGTTGTGCCTCAAGTGCCCTTATAGTATTGGAAAACGTAAATTGATAGTTTCTAGTAGTATGTTTTCATTGTTAATTACGTATGTTAAAGTAAGTTATAGTATTTCTAAAAAAATGGATGTAAATAATATTATGTGTTCGACGTCTAAAAAAGCTAGACGTAAACATAAACGTAGATTGACCACTGCTGAATTACAATCATTTTTAGAAGCATCTGGCGAGGATGATGTAGATTAAATGAATGGTGGAAGTGACTCTGACGAATAATTTGCACAAAGTCGTTTAGAAAAATCGAGGATTG